CATGTTCTGATGTTTTAAGTTCAGAATCTGTTTTCTGAACAGCATTTTGTTCAGGCAGTAGCGTAGTGTTAGACGAGTAGCTAACGTAGTTTGCAGGTAAATGAAGGTAGCTCACTAAGGGAAAAGGTTGGAGACCCATGGCTGAAGAACCTAATGGTAGATCTGAAAAACAAGAACTGCTTCTCTTTGTTCAGCTATAGAAGGGGGTCTGCTTTGCAATAAGTCATGATATTAAACCAAATGTTAGTTTATTTTCAGTGTTTTTATGTTGTTGATTGTATTTCTTTGAATACAACACTGACCCTGTGTTAGTTTTTCTTTAAAACGATGCTGTCATAAGAGCACTGTATATAGATATGGACAACAACACTTATGTCCAATATGTTGTTTCTTTAATACGTATTTACTGAATGTAAGTACTTGTAGATGGACATTTTTTTCATTGTTTTATTTCTAACGTCACCATGGCACTCAGTGAGAGACGATCAGACTGATGAAGATGAGGGTCTGCAGAAGAAGAACCACGCTTGGCAGCAGATTCAGTCAGTTTCTGGATTTTATTAAAGATTAAGGTGGAAATGTGTCAACGTTGCTCAGCATGCTTAGTTGGCAGCAATGATCTGGTCGGCCCAAGCACGCAGCTTGGTGACACGGGCGTAGACAGCTGGGGTGCTGGTGGAGCAACGGCTGCTTCCCCAGGACACGATACCAACCAGGGTCCAGGCGCCGTTCTTCTGGCAGACCAGAGGACCACCAGAGTCGCCCTGAGAAGAAGAACAGCGACACCCCAGCAGGTAAATAAAAACTGTGAGGTCAAACAGGGTAACAAGAACCTGACAGGAAGTAAGCTCCCACCATGCAGGAGGTGACTCCAGAAGCTCCGGCACAGATCATCAGGTCGGTGACCTGGCTGCCCCAGTAGTTGCTGCACTGGGAGTTGGTGAGCAGGGGCAGAGCGGCCTGCTGCAGCAGGGGTGGGGTGTCATTATCTGCAAAAACACACCACACAGTCAGCAGGACAGTTATTACTGGAACAAGATCGCCCTCTGCTGGCTGGGATGTTCTGGATAATAAACCTGATCACTGTTAGTTAGAAGGCTTCTCTTTTATCAAAGATGTGAACTGAAGGTCTAAAAACATGAACCGATCTTTCATAAACTGATATGAAGGTGATATTTCATGAGCACAGCTGTATTAAATAGTTATGATACGATAGAAGCACAAGTCAACTTCTGCTAAAAAGCTCCTATTAGGGTCAGTTGTGTCGAAGTAGAATCACATCTAGAAGCTTTCTGTCCTTCAGGATTTCAGTTCTATTCCACTGCTGAGTTTGATAAAACAAGCTCCTTATCAAAAGAATGAATACATTCATTAGTTGATAAACTAATTTCCTAAACCTAAATCAAACATTTTAAAATAATTTAAGGTCTTTCAAACGAAAGACTTTGGGATAAGGAGTACAGGGACGTAACTTAAGCCACTTATCTCATTACTTTTTAATTACTTTAATGCCTCTGTTGATGTTAAACAACTTTAGTTGACCTAACCTAAGTTTGCCTTAATGACAACACAAAAATATGTAGTAACTGAACTCAGGGAACTTCATGGTCTGTTTCCTTAAATGCTTTTGGGAATGAAAAGCAGGTTTGCACAAATAAAAGTTGGTAAAACTCTAATTTAGTCAATGTTGTTCCTTTAAAGTCCATTAGGATTACACTTTTAATCTTTTTTATATCTGTATCTAACTTGTTGAAAAAAACCTGTATTTGCATATTTCTACTGTAGATTTTAAAAGTTATTTTTTACCTTTTTAACTTATATTGGGAAAAACACTTTAGAGATAAACAGTTTTTATTATCTTTGCCGATGATATTTTAATGTTCTAATATAGAACTTCTCTTGTGATAGCTCTACTATCGCCTCATACTTTTATCTCTATTTAGTTCAGAGATGTAGGATGAGGATAAGATGATCACATGACTTCCCTGCTGGATGATTATTGGATGAAGGTGAGGAATAATAGGTGTTCTGTTTGTAAAAGCATGAACTCATAGTCTGAACTACATGAAGACATGGTTTCCTTCATGGGAACAACATTCAGGTCTGTAACAGACGGTGAACCATCTCAGTCAGGGTGTTCTGATTGATGGAAGCTCTTACTATTGTAATAGGTCAGACCCCAGCCAGTGGTCACACACGTCATGCCTCCAGGGAAGTTATCGCTGGTCTCAGCCATGCAGACGGGGGAAACGCGAAGGTTGATCTGGGCGGGGCTGGACAGCTTGATCAGGGTGATGTCATTGTTGATGGTGTAGCTGTTGTAGTTGGGGTGTCTGAACACCTGAAAGGAAGTGACATCATTAGAGATGCCAGGTTGAGGGGAAGGACCGCATGCTGTGATGGGTTTCCACTCACCTTGGTAGGCCTAATGGTCTGGGTGCTTTCTGCGTTAGAAGAGCGGTCATGTTCTCCGAGGACCACACGGTGGCTGGTCCTGCAGATGAACGCCAAGAGTTAGACCACTTCTACTGAACGGAAGCAGATTTTAGGTGCGTAGTGCTTACGTAACGCCGCAGTGAGCAGCTGTCACTACCCAGTACTCATTGATGAGGGAACCTCCACAGAAGTGGAAGCCAGTCCAGTCCTGAAACACATTGCTCAGATTTGATCATTTTGTCCTTCTGTGGTTAAAAATCTATGTTCTTTGTTCTCTGTAGGTCTAGACTAGACTCTTTGTTTTCTGGGAATAAAAGGTCCAAACTACAATAGTCAGTCTACATAAATATACCTAAAACATAGTTAAGGTCTCACCCCATTTTCACCACGGTCATTAAAACTCTGAAGGGAAGTAATTTATTCTGGATAACTTCAAACACCTGACGTTAAAAACTTGGTTTGCTTTTGTATTCAGATGTACTGATTAAAAATCCAAAATTTAAAGGCAATTATTTCCCCTTTGATCTCATTCATACTAACATATGATGCTCAGGAAGATGTCTTAGAAGGTTGAATAAGTATTAATGCTGGAGTCTTGTGTTGCAGCAACATTTGTTATCAGTGGGGATTATATGGAAATTATAAATAGCCCCTGATTTAGTAAAGCTAAATAATGAAATATATTCGTTCATCTGTTTACCTGAAGGGACACCTGCCAGGGCCAGGAGTGAGGAACAGCCTCCTCACCGTTTACAATACGGGCGTAACCGGTGATTACGGGAGAGATGGCGGGCGTGCCGCAACCTTATAAAAACATCATTACATCATTAAACAACAGAATTTAAACCCAAACTGCTTCTTTTCCCTCCAACCTACGCTGGACGTCTTTATGATTTACAGCAGAATAAATAAGTCTGGTGATGAAGACCAGTCTCACCGTAGGCGGCGCCGACGAAGGCAAGACAGGAGAGGATCCACAGGAAGGCCATGGCTCGATCATGCTGACCCCTTAGGAACCGCCGCTTTTATGCATCACTGAAGCGATGTGATTGGACGGGACGGTAGGAAAGTCTTATCGGAGGACGGTGGGAATTTGGACAGATGCAGGTGTTTTTCCATCTGATGAAACAGGAGCATGAAGGTCACACTGAGACAAAGTCCATAAAGTCTGAGTTTTATTTTATTTAAAACAAAACTAGGTTTCTATGTATATATATTCATTTATTAAAGACTCTCCTTGAATATATCCATATATTTAATAAATATATTCAGCATAACCCTATATTTTTGGTACAGGACATTTTTGAGGGAAAGACTTCTTTCCTCCAATTTATTGTTTATATAGCGAACAAAGATCAGCAGAACACAACCAGGACTTGTTGGAAACCTTTTGCAATTAATAAAATGCTCCTCAGACGTCCTTCTTACTTTCTTTTTTTTTTTTTTTACAGTGTCCTGTCTATGTGGCAATAATAATAATTGTCTTGATGCCAAAAAGAGCCCAACAGATTTTACTTTCACAAGTGTAGCAGTACGGCTATCGCCATATTGCTCCACTTGTTTCATGCATATAAATTGCTTTATTATAATTATGCAGGAAGTTTTACAGTTTATATGGACACTGCAATGTAAATAGTGCAGAAAAACAGAAGAAGAAAAGGAAAAAGGGAAAAAAAAGAGAAAAGATGAAAGAAAGAAGAGATGGAAAGGAGACAAAACACGTCCTTCTTACTTTCAATCAATTCTGCAAAGACCTGCATTTATATAAGAAGTTAGAATTAAATGTCTCTGGAGTTTGGAGCTTTGCATTGTGTGACTAAAATGTCCCAAAGAAACTTTTATACAGTACAACACAAGCAGATAAATGCACACATTTATAAAAAGAAGAAGAAAAAAAAAACACCAGACTTTTGAACTAATTATTTTCTCTGTGTTGATTTTGTTAAGAACAAAGAGACTTTTAGAAGCTTCAGATTAGACGTTAGCCCAGCCTGGAGCAAGAGAGGAAGTGCTGAAGCGCAAAGCGAAGGGGATGGATAATTAAACTAAGATCCTATCCTAACTAATATAGTTGTACCCCTTGAGATTCTGGAAGTGAATGCTTAAAGTCTATGCACATTTTTATTAGTATTAGATACATTTAGTTATTGCAAAAAGTAAACCGTGACACCAGTTAACTGAATCTTTAACAGCTGCATGACCAGAGATACACCTGCACCGCCTCCAAGAACGTTACAGGAAATCAGCGGATTGGTGGAACGCCTCCTCCATAACATCCAACTGCAGCCGCCAACACCACAAACCCCGCCCCCCCTTCATATAAAACACGGCTAAGGTGCAGATCTTTCAGTCCAAACTGTGCATGGTTGTTAAAAGGTTTAAAATAGAAAAAAAAGGATTCATTAATTATATAAAAACAGGTTGGAAATTAAAATATAGAAGATACAGAAAAAAAATAGAATAATATACTTGAATGGAAACAAAATGGCTTTAGTTAAATAAAATATCCCAGAAGTTTGTGCAGATTTAAGGATGTAAAATATTTAATGTTTAATATTTAATTTATCATAAGAGTGTATGTTGGGAAAAAAACTCTTCGTTATTGTTTATAAATTCATAGAGGAAACTGAGCAGAGCCACAGATAAAACACACAAAGTCACGTCTTAGATTTAATTATTCATAGAAACCTATTTTTCATTGCATGCAATGGGAATTACAGAGTTCCTAAATGGTACGGTGTTAATCCTGAAATAACCTCAAATGAGTTGAGAACATGATAGAGTATGAGGCGGAGCTGAATCCTACGGAAGAGGATTAGGGCCACTGAAAAGAAAAAAAAAAAACGTAAACTGATTTTTACATTTTATTTCAGTATAGTATGGGAAAAAAGTCAGAATTCTGACTTAAATCTCAGAATTCTGACAATAAAATAAGTCAGAATTCTGAGATTAAAGTCAGAATTCTGACTTTTTTCCCATACTATACTGAAATTAAATGTAAAAAATCAGTTAACTTTTTTTTCTTTTCAGTGGCCCTAATCCTCTTCCGTACAATCCTGGAGTGCCTGATTGAAACTACAGAATGAAAACTTATTTCCATTCTCTGTAAATGTTTTCTTACTTGCCAGAAGGCGTCCCGACTCTGACAGCTCACTTCCATTCTTACATATGATGCAAACATCCGTGTTTGTGAGGCCGTGTCTCGGGAGGCGGAGGCGGTTCCATTCCTGGCTCATCCTGCTCACCTGGATGAAGCCGCTCAGGTAGACCGACATCCAAGTTAAGTTGCCCCTGATGCAGCTCATCAGAATGCGAGCGGCATGGCGATGCGTCTATGTCTTCCTGGGTATCAGTCTGGCTCCCTGCACAGTGTATGAATCTGTGCGTGAAAAGGTGAGTAATCAGTGAGTAAGGAGTGATTGGAAAGACCAGGAAAGGTTTATGCAGGTGTTTCATTTTTACCATTTTAGAGCATTTTCAGGATCAAGATGTTGAGATAAACCATCCATCTATACTTAATCTGATAAAACGCAGCATCCAGAACTGTTACGATTCTGGCCTGTCTGCCTGTGAGCAATCGACTCCAGCTGCTGCCTGCTGCACTGCAGAGCAATCAGCTTCTCTCAGCTGTGATCCAGCAGTTATAAGTCAGCCTGAGGCTGGCAGACCGGGCCAGATGATTGAAGGCCAACCAGCCGGCAGTATCCAGAACTTCATGTTACCTGACCAAGTTCTTGACCTCGTCCTCGCTTCACTGATTGTCCCTCTTGCCTAGCCCTAATCGGATTTCTCTGCCTCCTGATCATTAAGCCTGAGTCTGGCTTCCAGGACCTGGATCCTGACTCTGTGCTCCAAGTCACCCAACTATTAGCCACCCAACAAGTGTTAAAGGAGCAGTCCGCTCTGATAAAGCTGCCGGTCCCCGCTGAAGGGAGGATTCTGAAAAGGTTAGTGGTTTTGTTGGTTTTGTTGGTTTCATGCATTGCATCATTCAACTCCTTCAAGCCTCTAACCTACATCATCATTCATAGGAATCCCTGGTCCTCGGTGGAGGCGCCCTGAGGTCTGAAGTTCAG